GGGAGACCGGGCCAAGCCGCGGCCAGAGGATCCCCACCACCGCGGGCCCGAGCCGCCGGCGAGAGTGAAGCTGGCGCAAAATGGCGGCCGCGAGCTCGATGCTGCGCCCAGTGAAATGGCGGGAGCGCCGAGTACCCGGATGCGGTGGCGCAAGGCGTGCGCGGGGCGCATGCGCTCGGCGGGGGCGGGGCCATGTGCCGCGTCCTGCCTCCTTGGCCTGTTTCCGGGCCTACCGCGTCCCCGAGCCTCAGTTTCCTCTTTTTCCCGTTGGAGTTGTACGAGGGGAAGGACGCCCTCGCGAATGCGGGCCTGGCCAGCTCAGTTCTAGTGTTCCCTTGCCCGGTCATACCTTGCGCCCAGAGTTTGGGTCCGAAATGGCACAGTCCCCAGTGCGCGGCTTCCACATGTGTGCTGGCCTTTGTGCCCCGAGCCCTTGGCCTGTGGTCGTCCCCAGCCAGTAAAAGCTTTTGTCCCGCCCCCTTAAGTAGTCCTGGTTTTCAAATATAAAGGTCTCTGCAGAGGTGCTAATTATGAAATGTGTGTCTGGCCCAAAGTGACGCCCTAGCTCCTGGCCCAGTCCCCCAAGAGGGACGCAAGGGAACAGCCTTGCCCTGGCCGAGGCTGGGGACGGGAAGGAGGCACGGGAGGCCCCGCCCTCACTGTGAGGGAGTGGGTGGAACCGGGTCACTTACAAGAAAGACGCCCCCCCCCCTTTCCGGGTCTAGGGTGGTGAATGAGTTTTTTTGAGTTAAGAAATCCCAGGTGTGAGTTTGGGACAGAACGGAATGGAGAAAAAATGATTTTCCAGTAGTTTCTCTAAAGAGCATATGTCATTTGCATAAAACAGTGGAGGGGAGGTGGTGAGAGATGACGCTCCTTCAGGACATCAGTGGTATGTGTTTGCCACAGGCCACCATGGCATCAGATGAAGGCAAGCTTTTCGTTGGAGGGCTGAGTTTTGACACCAATGAGCAGTCGCTGGAGCAGGTTTTCTCAAAATATGGACAGATCTCTGAAGGTGAGGCTGGGGCCAGGCAGGTGGCTAAATGGGGCTGGTTTGTCCTTGTTTCCGTTCATGGGGACAACGGGGTGCTGACCACAGACCTTTCTCCCCTGCACAGTGGTGGTCGTGAAAGACAGGGAGACCCAGCGATCTCGGGGGTTTGGTTTTGTCACCTTTGAGAACATTGATGACGCCAAGGACGCCATGATGGCCATGAATGGGAAGGTGAGGGGGCTGTTTGGGCTGCACGAGTTTGCAGAGGATGGGGAGGAGCAGAGGCTGATCTGTGCCACCTTTGGTCTCCAGTCTGTAGATGGGCGGCAGATCAGAGTTGACCAGGCAGGCAAGTCGTCTGACAACCGATCCCGTGGGTACCGAGGTGGCTCTGCCGGAGGCCGGGGCTTCTTCCGCGGAGGCCGAGGCCGGGGCCGTGGGTTCTCCAGAGGTGAGTGCCAAGAGTAGGGACTGGGACCTTTGAGGGTGCGGTGGAGGTGCTGCTGTCAGTGGCTGGAACTGAGTCCTCCTTGTTTGTCTGCAGGAGGAGGGGACCGAGGCTATGGGGGCAGCCGGTTCGAGTCCAGGAGTGGGGGCTACGGAGGCTCCAGAGACTACTACAGCAGGTGAGGGAGGTGGAGATCCAGTCTGGGCACGAGGGTGGCCGGGCATGGAGGAGAGGTGAGGAGGTGGTGCAGACAAGAGAGTGGGGACTGCCTAGAATAGTTATGGGGTAGGAGAGCTGAGAGGAGCACAGCTGGGGGTGGGTTTTTTTTTTTTTTTTTTTTTTTTAAAAATTTTAAAGATGACCGGTAAGGGGATCTTAACA